TGTTTCTTTACTAGTGCTAAAAATTTAAAAGTTGAAAAAAAATAAAAAAAAAAACTAAAAATATTTTGTGGTTAATTTGTGTACTTCTTTTGTTTTCTTTTACATATTATGGGTTGCATTTGCATGTTAGCTTTTTAACTGACATGTGTTGGTTAGTGTGACTGTATGTTGCATAATTTTTAGTTTTTTTTTTCTTTTTATGCACGGGAGCTGAGGCTGGCCTTGCCCCTTTTGACCCTGAGATTGATTGCACTTTTAGACGTCTCAGAAGAGCACATTTATTTCGTAAAAGGTCTTTTGAAACACCCAATGAAATGGTTGATACCAACACATCCATCAGCATGAAACAACTTAGGGAATATGCCAAACTCTCTAATGGGGACATTCCTATAGGAGATATGTTTGCAGTCCTATAAGCCCACAAAGCATTGTCAAGTTTGACTGACCAATCCATTTTTTTTGGATTAACAGATTTTTTTATAATTCTTTTAATTTCCTGATTGGATAATTCAGCCAAACCACTTGCCTGAGGATGATAAGTAGTAGCAATCTGATGATTTATATGATTTTTCTTTAATAACTTCTCCATTATGGCTAGGCTAGTCATGACCTTAAGCCCAATTAATTGATCAATAATGTGTAGATAATTTTCATGAAGGTTTTTGGAAGGCTTGGAGTGATTTTGAATTGGTTCAGAGGTTTAATTTGGAGGATTTTGGGCATTTGGTCAATTTGGGGGTGTTGTGTTAGCGTCTAGATTGAGCTCGGCATGGACTAAGTCCAAATTGATTATTGAGAATGGTCAATAGGAATGTCATAAAGAGTTTTAAACATAAATTGGGTGCCAATTTTGGGGCATTGTCTATCCGTTTTGCGGTTAATTTTGTGGAATTTGGAGACAACCAATTTGGAGCAAATTTGGGGATTTTGGACTTGGGTTAAAATTGAGTGAAATTGAGGCTTGGCTAAGGCCAATTAAAGGTCCCATTTGATGTGTAGTTGAGGATTTAAATTGGGGCAAATTTAGTAGGTTATGGGGTTAAATTTGCTGGGGTTAAGTTGTGCGGCCAAAATTAGGGGTTTTGACTTGGATCAAAATTGAGCTCAAAGCATGGGTCAATTAGGCCTGGATTTGGTTTAGATTAATCTTATGAAAGATAAATTTGAGTTTATAATTGAAATTGAGGGGAATTGGGGACAAATTGATGGAAATTTGAGGTAATTTAGGGAAAATTTGGCCTTTAAAGGCAATTTAGGGGTTTTGGTCAAAATGATCAAATTTGCCAAATTGGGTTCAATTAAATAGTCCAAATTGGTTTTGGAGACATATGAAGTTATTTTGGATGTTTTGACAAAGATTGGGGTCCCAAGGGTATTTTTGTAAAATTTGAAATTTGAGGTTATATTAGTAAATAATTTTTTTTGGAGATTTTGGGGAATTTGGATGTTTTCAAAAGGTTTGAAATGATTTTTTAACAAATTTGGGTATTTTGGGTAAACTTAAGAATTTTGGCCAAATTTAGGGTTTCAAGGGTACCTAGGAAATTTGGGGGAGTTTAGTGAAAAAAGACCAAGTTGAGTATTTTTGGTAGAATTGGGGAGCTAACTATCATAAATGTGCTATGGACCAATGGAAACCCCATTTTGGTGCTCTATGTACTGGTCTTAGCTAAAACCTAGCCTAGGACCAGAGGGTTTAGGGGACCATCTACATGAGTCTCCTAGAGGATTAAGAGATCAAAGTCAAGGAATTTTTGGTTTGTATTTGTGAGTGATTGTGAATGAGGTGAGTGTAGTGAGTGCCTTAGCTCTAAACTAACACCCAGAGTCAACCCTAAGGGCTAGCAGTCCTATGGGAACTCACCTTGAGCTCCCCTATAATGACCCTACCTACTAAGTGCTAGAGGTTAGGACCACTATATGGAACTTCAAGTTGAGTGAAGAGGAGTTTAGAATTTCTAATGGTGAGGGTTCCTTTTCTAATTTTCTAGGAATAATCAATAAGAAAGTCCTATGGCTAGATCCTAGGCTACTAAAGAGGAAAAACTAAACCTCAACCAAAAGTGAGGTCAACAACTTTCACTAGGACATCTTTTACAACTTCTTTAGGGTATGTTATCGAACGATATGCTAACTACAAAGTTACAGTAGTAGGTGTTATTTCTCCTAATCCCAATCTTTTAAATATTGATAATGGCATAAGGTTAATGCTTGCACCTAAATCACATAAAGCTTTAAATCACATAAATCTTTCCCATAAAATATGTCTTCTATTACACATGGAATTGTAAAGCTACCAGGATCTTTAAGCTTTTCAGGAAGCTTTTTATGAATTATAGCAATGCACTGCTCACTAACTGCAACAGTCTCATTATCTTCAAACTTCCTTTTCCTGTTGAGAATATCCTTCATAAACTTTACATAGCTTG